TCTGTGACCCCGAGTATCTGTGACCCCGAGTATCTGTGACCCCGAGTATCTGTGACCCCGAGTATCTGTGACCCCGAGTATCTGTGACTCCGAGTATCTGTGACCCGAGTGTCTGCGACCCCGAGTATCTGCGACCCCGAGTATCTGTGACTCCGAGTATCTGTGACCCGAGTGTCTGCGACCCCGAGTGTCTGCGACCCCGAGTGTCTGCGACCCCGAGTATCTGTGACCCCGAGTATCTGGGGCCCCCGAATGTCTGTGACCCCGAATTCATACCAGTGACCCCGCTGAAGCCCCGGGTATAATGAACCATGGAGGGCCCATCACCCGGCCGATGTCTCAGAACGCTGCAGGCGTCTCCGGTATTCGCGCGGTGACACCGTTGCATTGAGAAATGCCGCCATTTGTGTGTTTCGTTGCAGAGGGGACCCGCCGGGCAGATTCCCAGGGGGACCCCCGAGAGACGCTCCACCGGGACCAACCACGAGTACGCCAACACGACGCAGATGTTTCCTCCTCTGGAGATGCGACAGTGAGTAGACACTGAGGGGGGGCGGGGTACCTCGTGGGCCGGCCTTACGCTGAGCTTTGATGCTTCACTTGTATTCTCTCCCTGTCAGGCTGGAAGGGCGCTCCATGTACTGCCAATCCCTGTCCTTGTTAGAGCTTGCCCCGCCCCCTCCTATCCTTTCAATGCCAAGCCATCGGTATGGTTTATTGGTGGCCCACCAGTTGCCTACACCGACCTTCACCGGGTACTTCTGGGCAGCCGGTGGCTTGTGATATACTCTCTTCCTCCCATGTGACATTGCTGCTGTTTTGTTATTCGCTCCTCGGGCACCCAACTCTGTCACATGGGGGCAGGGAGCGAATCCCCAGCCCCGCCTTGACTCTCCGTTCCCTTTCTCCTATAGGTCCCTGAGAAAACCGCATCATACAGCCCGCTCTGCTCAGCCGGTGGAAGGACTGTACGCGACCATGAAGACCAGGGAGACCACAGGGGTCAACGGGCATCCGCCCCCGAAGAGCGAGGCGTCAGGTGGGCGATGTGTATTCAAGTTCGGTGACGCGCCGTTGTTTATAAGCCGCCAAGCCGCGGTGCTTCGGCCGCAGTCTTACCTCCCGGGGATTGAGTTTTGATGCTTCACTTGTATTCTCTCCCTGTCAGGCCCCCCATAGAGGGCTGTCCTGTCTTCTGCCTGTGCTGAGTGCTGATCGCACGCACTCATAAAACAAAATGGCCGCCAGCACCACATAAAGCAGGGCAGCCATATTGTGCAAGTATGCTCCCAACGCGCCCCCCGCCAGCGGTGACAGGTTCAGCCCCCGGTCGGAAGACTACCCCATCTCCGCTGCCCTGTCTTCCGGCCCTGCGACTCTCTTCAGCCATTGGACGGCCAGCGTCACCTGATTGGGCAGCTCGGCCTAAAACGCTCCGGGCCTCTTTTCTGTCCCAGTCCGGCCCTGCCCAGCGATGATACAACTGCTGCGCGCGCATGCATCGGTCGCTTTATCCTGCACTGCTCTGCTCTCGGCAGATTTCTCGGAAAACATTTTTGGGGGGAGAAAAAAGGACCCGCGTGTCTCTTTCCCCTCCTCCGACCGTCCAGACAGAGCCCCAGTCATCAGCCTATCAGGAGACAGGACGGCCTCTGCGAAGGCTTCACATTTGAATGCTGACAGGGAGAGAGTACAGGTAAATAACAGTACACACAGCAACTCCAAAAAAAAAGATACACACGCAGTTTCGGAGCAGAGATTCGTTCTCCTATAAATGGGGGAAGGTCTTGAAGTGGACGGCCTGGCGACAGGTTCTCTTTAAGAAAAAAAGAGAACCTGTCACCGCTTAATGTTAAAAAAACTGGAGCGTTCCTTTAAGAGCTTCTGTTTTAGCGGGCGAGCGGCCAGCTTGGGATGCAGCAAAACGGCGACAGGTGCAAATTACTTATCCTTTAAAGCCCCCCCCCCC